GTGAAACAATATGACGCAGGGACTCGCATTAAATGGCCTAGGATCCGCGTACTCCCTCCCTTGAAAGCATGTCATATTCTTTAAAATGCATCGAAAATAGTCACCGAATAATTCATGTGAATAAATTTTATTATGTGATTAATTAACATTAAATTTTATGTTTTCTGTGAATTTGTTAGCATTTTCTTGGATGTAACATTCTATCGAGCGAGACTGAAAAGTTACAGCCTTATTTTCAGGGTGATATGCAAATACATTACCCTCCAATAACTTGCTTGGTTCCACTTTGGTCATTTCTCGAAGCATACTAATATGAAGCATATCATTAGAATTTAACAAAGTCCTTATGATAATTTTTGCCGCCTCATGATTTTGTTGACCTGGATTCATTCCTGCCGTCTCAAGATTATCATAGACTGTGCCAAAAACTTGCTGTTTAATGACTGCATGAAAAGAGTTAAAGAAGTGATCCAAAGAAATTTGATTGATGCAAAATATAAAATCAATTCCTACCTTCGAAGGATTGACCAGCTAGAAATTTGCCCGCCACAGACTTTAGATCCACAATACGCCCACCAACCAATTCATATAATTTTTTTGCTTCTACGGAGTTGATCTTGCGCTTATTGATCAGATAATCTATTGATTCCTTTTCACTGAGATCGCCAATTTCCATCACCGGTTTATCTGCTCGTGACCAGGCACTACGTGCTAAAAATAAGAATCACAATCTGTAAATAATATTAATTTTCGAGAGCACAAAAATAATATCGGTACTTACATTCCATTCTTCTCGGCACCGAACCTTCACTGCTGACAAACACAGCGATATATTTTCTGTCATCGGCATTATCCTTGGCATCATCTTGAAGGATGTCGAGGATTTCCGAATTTTTGTGAACCAATCGGCTAATATTATCGTATACGATAACCGGTGGTCTGCCATTCTTTGCTTTGTACACTGCAGATGCACGTTTAAAGGCTTTTAGAGCTCTCTCCCATTCAGAAGTCTTAGGTTTATCTATAAAAGGAAAATAAGGATCAAAACAGTTGTTATTAAACGATAAAGCAGTGATGAAAACTTACTATTAGTTTCGCCTGATATTTTTCGCATTAGCTGTCTCGTAAAAGAAATCTGTTCCTCAAATGCAAAATTAATGGCTTTTCCGAAAGCTTCACCTAATTCATTGAAATTCGCAGGAACATCAACGTATATGACTCCGTGTCCAACTTCACTCGATGCAATCCTTGTCAGCGTAGTTTTCCCAGATCCATGTTCACCGCAAACCATGTGATAAAATGATTGATTTCTATACGGTTGAAAAATTTTTTTAAGATGATCTACAACTAGAGGTCGAGAAACAAGCTCGTCATCTGAAACATCAATTTCAGGTCGAGTTCCCTTTTCCACTGTTTCGTTGAGAAGACGTTCGTTACATCCGTTTCGGTACCAAGCATATAGAAGGTCCACTGATATAAGACCAACAAGGCCAGTTACAATTATGTTCGCCAATATAGCAGTCTACAAATAACGAAAAGGTGTTGAAAACTTGATCGAACAATGCATAACAAACAACAATAAATCTCATACAGGAAGCCGTTTTGCAGTGTATTTAGTGAATTTGTTCAGGTAGGAGGACGATGTAGACTCTTCGGGAGACGTGTGGGGGGAAGGTGAAGAGTTTGCATAAGGTCTCGAAAATGATGATTGAAATAAGTCAGATTTCAAGTTCCTCAACATAAGACTCGGAAACTGAGGGAATCGTACTCGACGGTTAACGAAGTGAGTTGGAAAAACGGTCCTACGAAAGTGTTGAGTTAAGACATTATTGGTTAAAAGAAAAACGGAATACGTAACTAACTGATTATCGATTCTTTCCTTATTACACAAAAATCACGCGATCCGCAGTACCGTTCTTATCGTACATCAGTTGCTAATTTTTCCGAGATTCGTTTAACTTTACCTGTGCATTTATCATTCATATATACTAATCGGGGTTTTTTCCGAATATAATCAGATTTCATGACGAGACAAAGCTAAAGTTGATATACTGGATGCGTCAATTATGCGATCAAGGTAATTATCTGGCATTTTGTAAATTATTCTTTAATAAAAATAATACATGTAATGATCATGAAGTATTTAAAGTTTTGAGTTTATTCAATGAGTCCTAGCTCTCGAAGATGATTTGGAATGACTAGATATGGATCCTCATAATACCAAACATATCTTAGAACAATCCAATTTTCTTCACAGAGTTCTTTTTTGATCTGATCACGTATTAATTGCTTTTCGAAGTCTTCCTCATTTTTGTAGAAATGCTTTACGTATTGCTCATGTTGCTTACCTTGTACCTCTATGGCAAATCCATACTGCGGATAGTAAATATCAAGCTCTAATCCGCGAGGATACTCTGGTATTTTCAAGAAATCTGGTCTGCGAATGCTAGAAGGTGGTCCGAGAATTTTTGTTATAATTTCACGGCATAAGCTTTCATGTTTATTTAAGTAATATGGACACCATGATTTAGCATGCTTTATACCATTAAAACTGGCAAACTATTTATGACCTTTATTACACATCCATTGCATCGGAACACAGAGATTTATGTATTTTGTAGAAAGACACATACCTTCTCTATTGTGAGCAATTTCTTTAGCTTCCATAAGACCACAAGGAAAATTACCAGCACATTGTGAGCACCATCTTCCCATACTTTTTATTCGATAAAGAATTGTGGACCATTCATGTCCTTTGATGCATTTCCAAAGCATTGGAGTAGTTGCATTAATATATTCTATAGAAAGGCATTTATCACCTCGTTGTTGTGCAACATTTTTTGTTATATCAATATTGAGAAATCGACACTGCCGACACCAAGTTCTATTAATAATATCTTTTGCTGAAGCCTTCCATTTATGGCCTTCTTTACACTGCCACTCAAGAGGATCCTGTCTATTAATATATTCAGTTGCAAGGCAAAGACCTTCTTTTTTCTCTGCATACTTTCTCATATCTTCAATTGTTCGAGTATGACGATTTTTAACCGCACACCATGGGCACCATGTTTTTTTGTACCTTATACAATCAAGAGTTGTAAACCATTCATGGCCGATAATACATTTCCAAAGCATTGGAGACTTACTATTAATGTATTTTTCGGAAAGGCATTCACCTCCTTTATTATATGCAATCTCCTTAGCAATCTGTAAAGATAATTTAGTTCGCATTTGTACTTTTATGCCAATTCTTTAAAATCTTGACTAATTCCTCCCTTGAAATCCTGCTTCTCTATATTTTCACTTAGCCGACCTCTAACTCTCAATATATTTATTTTTTAAAAAATTAAAGATATGATTATAGCACTACGTGCCTGATTTTTTAATTATTATATGCTAAGTTGTCTTTTGTTTCGCTGGCATATAATAGAGTATTAAGTCACACCAGGAAATTAATTAGTATACTATACCCGATCCCACATGCCTGAAATAGGGATCCGTTAAAGTGGAGTAGTGCCAAGCCACAAATAGTGCCACATATTCATTCATTGGTTGATTAAGTTGTGGCGTGATAGACCTATTATTGGTCAAAATTATATAATGTTCGACGCATGATCTAGTGCCTATGCCGTATTAACCAGCATAGCGGGCTTTAATTTTGATTGGTCAATCACCAAAATGTATCATTACATATACACCACATATAACAGCTGACTTTGAACGAATTGTCTGCCATGAAAACGAATTGTCCAAGCATACAGCATAAAAATTCTGAAACTACACCTTCTGTTCTATAACATATCAAAATAATCCGGGAAAAAATCAATTAATCCAGAAGTTAGCTATATAGAGTACTTTTTGGTTCTTCGCTACTAGTAATTCACAAGAATTCTCAAGAATCCATAAGACTACCTCACGTAAACTTTTTTTGGTAATTTATATGAAAAAGATGGCATCTACTGAGAATATCCAGTCCCAAATCTTTGGTATTGAAAAGAGAGGTAAGAGAAAATTACAAGCTTGCGACTTAGAAGGTGAAGATGATGTTGAATGTGACTACGAATTGAACAGCGTTCGTGTAGTCTCTGAAAAAGTAACCATACCTGATTCGAGCAAGCACTTAGATTTGGTTAATAAA